AGAGGGGGTGCAGGTGCAGTCGGCGGACTAGCACTTCTCATTATCTCATGCCAAACTTAAATTGTAGTGTACCTAGCATAAATAGAAAAGTCACTTGTCCAACGTAGCCTTCTCCGGTCTACACTGAGAACCCTATTGGTTTCGAATTACTTGCATGATAAACCTTTACTCTTTGATTTCCGATTGAGAAATCCAAGGAATGGCGAAGAAAGCTGTATCCAGAAGAGAGTTACTGGATCGATGGAGAGGCATTCAGGATGACGAAGATGAAACCGACGATACTGATCCCTCCCAACGGACCCGTCTTCACAAGCAGAAAGAAGAATGGTTTTCCTTTTTCTTTTCCCTCTTTTTTTCTTCCCACAGCATCAATTCCCCTTTTCCTGGAAAAAAAAAGGAGTAATTTTTTATTCCCTTCTTTTAGGTTCGCGGATGCATTCAGTTTCTTGATCAGTTTGCCCAAGGAAACCCATATCTGGTGTGGCTCTTGGGATATAATGGGGCCTCTCTTGGAGACTTTCTACAACTATTTCAAGGACGAACGCAATGATTCTCCTCTTAGGGTTCTTTGGAAGAGAATCTCTGAGGAAATGCGCCGTTGCATACAGTGTGTTTCTCAGCACCACCAGGCGCAAGAGATGTATAGTATGGAGTATGAGCTGAGCTCCATTGCTCCCCTTCTTGATGTATTGCGAAGTCTTGACGAGGAGAGGATGACTCAGCAATTGAGAGAGATAAACGAGAAATTAGCTCGACAGCAGTATGATCCTCTGCATGATAATGCTGAGGTTGTTTGTGTCATGTATGAGGTATGCCAATTTGCCTCATTCTTTGTTATGAAAGCTTGATACTATCTATCAATTGTCTGCTACAGACTGTTATAGATGTTATAATAATTCCAGAAATTTCGAGTTGATTCAGTTTCAGTAACTGATTGGTACATATTACTTTTGTTCCATCTTGTCATGGTGACCGTTTCTTGCTGTGGTTTTGATGACTACTTGATCACAGGTTTTGATGTATCCTGTCCTATTAGATGATCAGTTGTTGTTCACCGAATTTGAAAGATTTATTGAAGCAGTTGATAATGTCCATGAATTGGCTTTAGATGGGTATCAACAGTTTCCGGTATATAATCCAGCAAATTGTTTGAGTGCTTAAAGTGTGCTTTAAGCCTTGACTTCTATTTTCTGCCTCACAAAGCTTGGTTAATTTTGTCAGGGAGTTTACGCTTTGTTTTTCCTCAATAGAAGAGTGCGTACTGTTGGCCATCGCTTAGCAAGATCTATGGGCAAATTGAGGTACTGTCTTATTTTACTCATGCATTGTTAAGAAGCTTAACTGTTGATTTTATATATAAAATCAGTTAACTCCAACATGTCAAAGATTGCTTCCACATTTCATGCCTAGATTCAGCTTACACAATAAATTGTTATATATATAAATAGAATAGTAGCAATACCACAAGTTAATAGCAGCCACACCATGAGATTTGTGCTTTCAGCGGAAAGATTTGTGCTTTCAGCGGAAATGTTTGTGAATGCTGATGGCCTCATTGCTGCAAACTGTGAACAGGTTTTATCTTTTTTTAGTTTTCAATATTTTATCTAAATAAGTATTCTGTTTGTGTATAGGAAAGCATCAGACTTGGAACCTCTGCAGCCTTTGCTTAAAAAATTTATTAGTTTTTTGGAGAATGAGGTGTTGCCCTCAACTTTTAAGACTTCAAGGCCAAGGGCGCAGCTGGATCGGTTACCTATATGGCTCGGAATTACATCATTGTACAACGCTCTGGCTAAAATCTTAGTCTTCTGCAACATTTACCTTTTCTATTCTTTTACATCTAATTTTACATTTATATTTGTTGAATTCAATGAAGGCTTGAGTTCTTGGAACCTCCAGCATTTGAAGAAGGAATACTTGAGCACTATCCCATTTTTTTTGATATTGTGCTGAATCACATCAGTGGTGATTCATCTGAATTTTCCCATGCAGTTAGTTGCTTGAGAGAACTGTTCAAAATGCTTGGTATGCAGTTAGTTGCCTTAGTATATTATCTATCATAATGTTAGTCGCTATCAAATTGATCCACTTCCAAATCCGTAACCAACCCTCCTTTTTTTGTCTTTTTCCTTCTTGCTTTAAGGTTGTAAGCTTTGGTTAAGGTCTACATTATCTCCAAGTGTGATGCGCAATACACTTCTGGGTCAGTGTTTTCACACTAGGAATGAGAAGATACATAAAGATATTTTTGATCTTTTCCAACCATTTCTGCAGGCATGTTAACTGTCTACATTAAGTTAATTTGCAGTGATGGTAGTTTTTGTAAAATTTCTGATGTGTACTATTCTTGTATATCTTAGTCACTTGAAGCTTTGCAAGATGGGGAACATGAAAGGCAACGTAGGCATTTCCTCTATTTCCTCCTCCATCAAGTTCCTGTGAGCAGTAACTTCAGCATTTTGACAAGAAAAAATGCGTGCAAGGTTCTTAATTATCCTACATTATGAAGACTATTCATATAGTTCTTTGTTTTTTTATTGTCTCTTGTATGGTTTTGTTCTCTTGGCTTATAGATTTGCTATTTATTGCAAGATTGTATTTTCAGATTGCTCTTCTTATTATACACCGTGGCTACAAGATGAATCCACCGTGTCCTCCTTTTGAATGTGCACATATGTGGTATGTATTATCGATCCTTGATTGTGAATAGACTTAGGCCCTGTTTGGTTAATCCATTTTTTCTAATTGGATGAATAATGGTGAGAAGAGCATGTGTTACATACATATTTTAAACCTGAATTAGCTTCTTTCCTTAGATTTGGTTTGCATTTTTTTTGTCTCACCTCTTGATTTCAGAAATGTAGCATTTAGTAGGAGATGCCTTGATTGAAGTATGGCTGTTTACATTTTGCATTGGCTGAAATGTTAGATGAATGTATTAGAGGGCACATGGTAGTTTTCTTGTTGAAAAGAAGTTAAAAAAAACTCTTCCAGGGGGACAGTGTTAGAATAAAATGTAGTTTATCTTTACCTCTCCCATCCCCTGCACTATTGACCATTGTTGGAATAAAATGAAATTTGTATTAGCTTAAGGGTTTGCATAATTAAGCTGCACAATATCACATACAAGTAAATGGGAATGGCTTGGCTTTAGTGTAGATAAGTGTTTTTGCAAAGAAATAGACTTACATGGCTTTGCTCTTATTTGGCAGGGGCCCATCTCTTGTCTCTTCTTTGAAGGATTCTTCACTCCATCATTCCCTGCGGCAACCTGCCTTTGATCTCATACAGACCATTTTGGTGTCAGATGCTGCTGCATTAATCACTTCAATGTTTGATTGCAATGCTGCTGCCATTGTTTGTAAAGGTAGTACTGTCAAGATAAATGATGAGGAAGAGGATAATGAGCTTCCATTTGTTCAAGATGTTGAGGAGAAAGATATTAGTTCTTGGAGTGAATTCAGTGCTCAGAGTAAAATTTCTTCTCAAGAGTATAGGGATTGGATGTGTATACCCATGTTATGGCTTGATGTTCTGGTTGATATTGATCCCTCAGTGTTTCCAATAGCATTCTCCAAGGCTGTGTTTTGGGCTCGATCTCATTTCTCTATGGTAGAACCCGAGAATAATGCAGAAATGGCACTTGATGCTAGAACGTGGATTTCAACATTTGCTACAGAAATCTCCACTTCACTTGTATGGAAGGTTCCAACTGGTTCTGATGATGGAGGTGGGAAGGAGTCAAAAAACTCAGTCAGAATATCAATAATGTGCCTTCCTATGTTGAGAACATTCATCAGGTTCTTAGCATGCTACCTGCTACTTTTTTAAGCATCATTATGTTACATCAATGTCTATAATATCTTTTGATCTATCCATATTTTCAGGTCTAATGTGTTTTGTTTTTATAGGTTAACTGCACATTTTATAGTTCAAATTGGCCAAGGAGAACTTTGGAAGCAATGGACTTGGGAGCCGACTATGGGAGAAAGCTTGGTCCTTTCACTTCTAGACCCTAGTGATGTATGCTAAGTGTTTTTTAATCTATGCATCGTTTTATATTTCTTTTATGAAGCTTTTCTCATGATTTAATTTTTTCTCTAACCTGATGCAGAATGTGAGGCAGTTTGGCAAGTGTATCTTGGAGCAAGTTTCAAGTACACGGGGTCTTGATAGCAGTTTGAAGTTTCTTTGCTCCAATCGTTCTTCTTTGTCTGCTGTTTTTTTGGGTTTGAGGCAGGCTTTGAAACTGGTTAGTCTTAGCATCACTTTTGAGCTAGTTCTAAGAAGATTAAATGTGTTGGTTTGCAATCTGATTGTGGATTTAGTATATGTGGTTCTTGCCTTCTGGGATTAAAAAGGATTAAAGGATCAAATTATCATCTCGTTGTGCTGTTATTGTATAGGAGCAATAGAATACTGATTAATGAGGTTGTCCTTGTTATCAGAGGAAGACCTTCTCCCTGTTTTTTTCTTAATAGATTTCACCATGTTATGACCCTCACCCTGTATTGAGTTCTCTCTCTGTCTCCTTTTTTTTAAAAAAATTGTTTAATTCACCACTTTTGCTTGTGCACTCAGGTACAATTGGAGTCTGTCCAACTGAAGTTTCAGGCACTGCATCATTTTTTCTTTGTTTTGCACAAGTTACTTAAAGAAGAGAATGTGCCTAGTTCGGGTTTGCCAGAAAACTCAATTGATCCTTTGAATGTCACAAAGCTCTCCTTCCAGGGTGGATTTCTGAGGCAGCCAGCCTTTGATACTTTGCCTATAGTTATCACTGAATATCCATCCAATGCAGACTCTGATCTGCGGGGAAAATTCTGTTCTAACTTATCAGAAATTGCGTGGCCATCTATATGCAAGTGCTTGGTTGAAGGGAAGGAATTTATTAATAACAGTCTTTGTCAGGTATCATCCTAGGATTGTAGTTACTCTTTGGTTGTTTCTTTTGTCTGCTCTTGGTCACATCTATGAAGGTGCACATGTAGTGTTATTACATTCTGAGTATGGGAAGCTACCTGTTCTTTCCAGATTAATAATTGAAATTTCTCCACTTGTGTCTGTGAGCATGGGAGTGCATAATTGTCAGTGTCGGTTAGGTGCCTGTTTATGGCTATATGCTACGCCTTGTCATTATTCATTCAAGTCTGTTGCAATTGCATACTTTTTTGGCATTGTTGGAGCAAATCTTGAAATTGGCAGCTAATGGATATAGGGTTATATTGGTTATTGCCTTCTCTTAGATGCATTGTTTCTTGTTACTTTATCAGGCATTGTCATCTTGTTTATTTCTTATTTCACATAACTTGTGTCAATCTACATTTAGGAGGCATTGTTATCTTGTCTGTTTCTTACTTCAGATAACTTGTGTCCGTGTGCTTGAGATCCTCCCTGTTGTTTTCGGAAGACTTGCCCCATCTTTAGTTATAAAGTCTCGAGATTCTGGAACAGTTTTGGACTTGAAGTGGCTTCATGATCTGATGGACTGGGGAAAATCACAACTTAAGGTTGTTGTTGTTCATTGGAAAAGAGCTGTAATCTCCTTGCTGAGTGTTTTTGAAGTGTCATGGAGTAAGATTTCTCCACTGATTGTCAGCACTATTAAAAATATTCTTTCTTGTGGTGAGTTTTCTATGTTGTTTTTTGCTTTTCTTGTTTGCAAAATTACTATCTTGTTTCTGATTCATATTTATTGATTTGTTTCTTTCCCATTTTGATGTGTTACTTTCTAAATGTAGATAGCATTGACATGGATGAATTGATGGAGCAAATATCTCGCCTTTGTATCTCATTGTCTAAAGAGTTTTCTTTGAATTCTGTTAAGACCACCTCAAATTCAAAGGCATTGTCTACTGGATCATTTTTTTTCAAGGAAAAATACCCTGCTTTAGATATAAGACCTTCCCCTATAGAAACAGAAGATGCGAAAATTTTGGACTCCTTAAAAATTGCTAAGAGAAAGAATGAATCTCACTTGGTTGTTCTTTCTGATAATGAGAAGGAGAAAGAGATGGAAACTGGTAAGTCAAGTGATCTGATGTTGGATAAGAAAACAGGTGTGTGTTCCGCTGATGATATTGCCTCACTACCAACAGCTGTTACAGAGAAAAGTACTTGTGGCACTGACACTAAAAAGAATTCATCAAGTGCCATCCACAAAGATGCTGCAATTAGTTCTGCTCTTGCTTCTCAGATGGACTTTGAAAAATCTAGTGCCAAACCAGCCAGTTTTCTAAAAGCAAAAGATATGCAAGGTGAGAGAAAAGAATCAAAGTCCAAAAGTAATGTCATTGATAAATGTTCATCTCAGAACAAGGTTGATATGAAGAACAATCTTGAATCGTTTAATTCAAAAATGAAAATGGCTTCAAACAATTTAAAACCTAGAGCAAGTGATATGATTTTGAAAAAGTTAGTACATGATGAGGATGGACTGGAGTCTGCGTTTAAAACCTCCAAACCTCAGCAGTCATCTCTTGCAAAGTCAGGTCCTTTTGTTCCTAAACGACAAGTTATACAACTTAAATCACCCTTTGAACACCAATCTGGTAATATACAAAGGCTGGAGCCACGAGTTAAAAGGTTCAAGCCTCCAATACTTGATGAATGGTATAGGCCCATATTGGAAATGGATTTCTTTGTGACAGTGGGACTGACATCTTCAAGTGAAGATGGGAATCACCCTATTAGCAATTTGAAGGAGGTTCCCATTTCCTTCCACTCACCCGAACAATATGTGAATATTTTTCGGCCATTGGTTTTGGAGGAGTTTAAAGCACAATTACAGAGTTCCTTTCTGGAGATGTCTTCATTGGAGGAGATGTATTGTGGTAGTATCTCTGTGCTTGCGGTTGAGAGAATTGATGAGTTTCATCTTATCCGCTTTCTCTATGATGACAATAATTCTACAGCATCTAAAAGCATTTTGGAAAATGATCTTGTTTTGCTCACAAAAGAGCCTTTGCAAAGTGATTCCTGTGATGTTCATGCGATTGGAAAGGTATTTCTATCTCATTTAATCTAACACTGAGTTTCATGTGCTAATGGAAACATCCATTAGGTGTTGTATTTGATTTCCATTTTCATCAAATTTTATATGCACAGCTTTCATGGACTTTGCTCCCTAGTTTATGTGGAAAACCTTTTCCTGGCTTTGATTTATACTTTTTTGGCTTTTTCTACAGCTTTGGAGTGGCTATATTGGTTAATAATGTGTGTGTTTGTATTGAGCAGCAGACTATTGGATAAGAAATTCTTGAGTGGCTTAATAGTATATCATATTAGTTAGGTTATTGGTTTATCCAAATTGTTTTTATTTCTTTGCTGACAACTTCGCATCATGTGTCTGTGTTATCCTAAGCAACATTCCTATTTCCCAGGTTGAGAGGCGTGAAAGAGACAACAAAAGAAGGTCAAGCATACTACTGATTAGGTTCTATTTTCAAAATGGTTCCTCACGTTTCAACCAAGTAAGGAAGCAGCTTATTGAACGTAGTAAATGGCATGCAAGTCGAATTATGAACATTACATCTCAGCTCCGAGAATTTCAGGCGTTAACTTCAGTAAAGGAAATTCCCATGCTGCCTGTTATTTTAAACCCTGTTAGTGGTTCTAGAGATTATGATAGATCTGGAGAAGTAAATTTGAGTAGGCTGTCCCAGCCCTTACAGCAAATACTGAAGTCATCCTTCAATGACAGTCAGCTTCAAGCTATAAGTATTGCAGTGGGATCAAGCAGTTTTAGGAAAGATTTTGAATTGTCTCTTATTCAGGGCCCACCAGGTGGGATTCCTTTTTCTTGTTCTTTGCTCCCCATTTTCCACCTTGATTTACATTTTAGAATGTCATTATTTGTAGTATGGTTCAACAAGTAACATATTTTTTGTGTCACAGGGACCGGGAAGACCCGAACTGTAGTAGCCATGGTCAGTAGTTTGCTCGCTTCCTTTCAAAGGAGAACAAATGAATCAGAGAATTCTTTGTGCGGTGATATGAAACAAAGTCATAGATTTTCTTCCAATTCAAGGTCACAGTTAAGCCAGTCTGCTGCAATTGCAAGAGCGTGGCAGGATGCAGCCTTTGCTAGGCAAATACATCAGGATGATGAAATGAATACAAAATCAACAGAAGGTTCTGCAAGAGGAAGAGTGCTGATTTGTGCTCAGTCAAATGCTGCAGTTGATGAATTGGTATCAAGAATATCTAGTGAAGGCCTTTATGGAAGAGATGGGAAGATGTACAAGCCATATCTTGTTAGGGTTGGAAATGCAAAAACAGTTCATCCGAACTCGCTGCCCTTCTTTATTGATACACTTGTTGATCATCGCTTGGCAGAAGACCAAACACAGAAGAATGATGCAAGAAATGGTTTGGCAGTTGACTCTATGGCACTGCGTGTCAATTTGGAGAAGCTAGTTGACAATATCAGGTTCTATGAGACCAAGCGTGCTAACATAAGGGATGGAAATGTGGATATGAGGAAGAAAATGGAAGATGGGACTGATAAGGGGAATGATGTAAAGGATGTGCCTGATGAAGAAATAGAGGCAAAATTAAAAAAGTTATATGAGCAAAAGAAACAAATTTATAGAGACCTTAGTGCTGCTCAGGCACAAGAGAAGAAAGCTAATGAAGAAAACAAGGCTTTAAAACACAAACTGCGGAAGTCTATTTTGAGGGAAGCTGAAATAGTGTTAACCACATTAAGTGGCTGTGGTGGAGATCTCTATCGAGTTTGTGCAGAATCTATGTCCGGTTCCAAATATAGCAATTCATCAGAGCATACTCTTTTTGATGCTGTTGTTATTGATGAAGCAGCTCAAGTAAAACGTTTTGTATTATTGTTAATTCTGTTGAAACTTCTATTTTATTAGCATGGTTGGTAGTTTGGTACTTTGTCTTTGCTTGTTAAGCTTTTAATTTATGCCACTGCAGGCTCTGGAACCTGCTACTTTGATTCCACTTCAACTTTTAAAGTCAAGAGGGACAAAATGTATCATGGTAAGGATAATTAATAGATCTATTATTAGAATTTTCTATCATTGTCATGTTGAAGCTGAAGTTTAACATTTAATGCTTAAGGTTGGTGATCCAAAGCAGCTTCCTGCAACAGTTCTCTCAAATATTGCTAGCAAATTTCTATATGAATGCAGCATGTTTGAGCGTTTACAAAGAGCCGGTCATCCTGTTGTTATGCTTACCAAGCAGGTTGGTAAATTGAAACTCATTATGTTCTTTTAAAATTTCAAGTGTTCTTTTATTTGTTCATTTTTAAGATCTTTTGGAAACTTATTTGAATGCCTTGGATGAGAAAGGTCTTTACAAAATTTTAGCCATTTGTCATTAAATGGAAAGCTGATGACATTATAGACCTCTGGTTCAGGTTTAAAAACATTGACTCTATGTAGTGGTTGTCTGCCAGAAAGGCAATGGCTAAATTTCTGTTTAGGTGTGTGTAATGAACAAAACCAGTGATGGTATGGATTAACTGATATGTAGAACAGTGTGATTCATTTATTTATTTAAAATTAAAAATTTTCAATAACAAAAATGATTAGGATATTTGACTCTATTTTTATGATGATTTAACTGTGGAATTGTTAGAGAACATCCTAAGTCATCTTCAGAAAATTTCTTTCCATCTTTCTGATGATTATTAATTAGTTTTCTGGAATCTCATTTGTTTAAATGTTATTTATCTACCTTTTAGGGCTTTGACTGTCTTAAGCTTTTGATGCTTTGTTTGCATATGCGAATGTTCATTCCTTTTTCTCTTGCCTTTTCTCTTTTTGATAAATTTATATGCACATGTAACATGTTCATGTATTTATGTGCCTTGAACGTAGAAAATATGAGTGGTTCTCATATTGCAGTGTCAATCATTTACTATAAGTTAGAATGGCCAAGAAAACAAGTGCTCTTGCTTTTAATAACGAAGGACATTATATAAGATTCTCAATCTTATTCTTTGCTTTTGTGTGTTCAGTGTTTTGGTGTTTGTGTTATAACATTCTGTGTCCCAAAATGTTATAACTCTTTTTTTTTTTATAATGTGCTTACAGTATAGAATGCATCCAGAGATATGCCGTTTCCCTTCTTTGCACTTCTATGACAATAAGTTGCTAAATGGGGATAACATGTCAAGCAAATCAGCAGCATTTCATGGTACTGAGTGTTTTGGGCCCTATGTTTTTTACGACGTTGTTGATGGTCAGGAGCTTCGTGGTGAGAATTCTGGCACATTGTCCCTTTATAATGAATGTGAGGTTGATGCTGCAGTTGAGGTGCTAAAGTTTTTCAAGAAGAGGTATTTTATTGTTTCAATTTAAGTTCCCTTCTTTTGAAGGGTTTATCTCATGTTCTGGTCTTTGCTTGCTTATTAATTTTACATTCTTTGTTTAGGTATCCATCGGAGTTTGTTGGAGGAAGAATTGGCATTGTAACTCCATACAAGCGTCAACTCTCACTTTTGCGTTCTCGTTTTTCTAGTGTTTTTGGTTCTTCAGTTATTGCTGATATGGAGTTCAATACCGTGGATGGTTTTCAAGGCAGAGAGGTTGATATATTAATACTTTCCACTGTTAGAGCAGGAGGTCCATGTACCTCAACGGGCATAAACTCAAGCAGTAGTATTGGATTTGTGGCTGATATAAGGCGGATGAATGTTGCACTGACAAGAGCCAGGATGTCTCTCTGGATTCTTGGCAATGCAAGGACTTTACAGACAAATGATAACTGGGCTGCTCTTCTGAAGGATGCTAAAAAAAGAAATGTGGTTATATCAATTAAAAGACCTTACATATCTGTGTTCAAAACAGCTTCTGGGAAGAATACAGTGCAACGAGATACTGATGACCAACCAACGCAAATGAAGCATGGTCAGAGGGTTGGAGGTACCAGTCAGCTTGTGAAACAAGCTGAGGTAGACTTCAAAAGGAGCAGAAAATACATTGCCGGTGTGGGTCAGAGCAACAGCATCATTGCTGGAGATGATAATGCCTTGATGAAAACAGAAGATGTTCAAAGTAGCAAGAGGAGAGCCAGAGATGCATGTGATCCTAAAAAGAAGAATGATCTTCCATCTGCATCTGCAAATGATGAGAACAGAAGATCCCATAACAAAAGGTCCACAATTTCAGTGAAAAATGTTACAGACGGTGAACGGATAGGCAGGGAGGGCAAGAAAATGGAAATCAAGTTAGAGAATTGCAATATGAATAAAAGGAAAGGTGTAGTTGAAAATTTGAGTGGTAATGAGCACACTCAAATAGATGTTGGTGATGGTGGCAAGTCCAAAGGACCTAAGAAATCATCTGGTCGTGAAAAAAACCAGGAGAGTGAGCCTGTTTCAATTCCCAGAAGTGATGGGCGCAAAAAGGAGAGAGAAGGAAAAGACGGTGGTAGACCTTCAAGTCAAGTAGGCAGTTCCAACGATTTAGCTGCAAAAAGAAAACAACGGGAAGCTGTTGATGCCATTCTTTTCTCAGCTTTAATCCCCTCAAAGAAGTCTGCACCATCAAAAAAATCTGCTAAGCAAAAAAGGCCTCCTTCTCCAAGCTCAGTTGTAACCGGTGGCATCAAACCATCCAAGACAAGAAAAGGTGATTTCTCAGCAAAATAATTCTTCTTTACTGATAATAGTAATTTTCTATCTAACCTCCCTCTAATTGAGTCCTCAAAGCAATATTCTAAGTTTTATTAGTTTTATTTCATTGTGCATTCTTATGCGAATGTCATCCTCAGTTTATGCTCCTGTCTTTTCACTTCTTACAGTTCCAAAGTAAGTGTGTTGTGAGATGCCTCAGCCTGGAAATGGCTGAACACATAATTCTGAACTCCCCCGACATGGGATGAATGAAAAGTCTCTGGTTGTTTTTGTATGAGATTTAAGTGGAGCTCTAGTAACATGCTAGTGGGATTTCCTGTTGATAGAGAATGCAGTAAAATTGGCTACTTAGCCTCTTCTTCCTAGGACCAGAGCATTGGCGGTGACAGAGTTACATGATTGAGATGTGAATCTCTCAGAACTGGTTTTGATTGTTGCAAAACTAGAAAGTTTTCACGGCAGTTGGTTCCCATATCATATATTGGGAAGGAATTTTGGTTATGCTAGGGTGGATTACCTTGCCAACTGCTCACCATGTATATATTTGACCATATGGGGCTAATGTAAGTTTTTGTAAGTTCAGTTGTAGTTTCAATTCGTAAAATCTCTTCCCAGTTCCATTTTTCATGTACGTATCCTCTAAGGGGAGACGAGGAGACGATTCCGTTTATAATACGAAAATGATTTTTGAGTTCTTATAGATTTATTTTTACTTGACGGGACATGAAAATTATAGTAAAAGGAATCATTATAAACAGAATTTTTTATTTTGTAATTTAATGAAGTCTTAACTACAAAATAAAGGTTGTTAAATGGGGGAAAGACTTTCAATATTAGGGTCTAATCTTATTTAATAATAATGGTTTTATTTATTTATTTATTTATTTTTAATAAGGCTATAATTTTTGGGGGAGGAAAATCGAACTCCAGTCCTCGGGTTAGGAGATGCACTTTATAAATTGACTTATAATCGTTGGACTGTGAGGTCTAGGTGCAATAATAATGGTTTTATAGTTTAGATTATTCAATATATTTTTATTGTCAAAATAATCTTATAGTTTAGATTGTGTAACATATTTTTATTGTCAAAATATAGTTATGAATTAGTAAAATACAAAACTATTGGTTTTTGGATTTTAAATAAAAAAAATTGTGATCATATGTGAGTAGGAGTTCGGAAATATAATAGTTATTTTTTGTTGTATAACTTATTATTTGATTATTTAAAAAAAAAAAGAGAGAGAAAGAGAAGGGAAAAAGAACTGAAATTCAAGGACTAACTCAGAATTCTTCCTATTTTAAAGGAACGCTTCTTTGTGCTGAAGTGAAGCTATGAGCCGCATGGGCAATCATGTAAGCTGCACATAGCAAGAAGGAAAAAGGGGAAATAATTGCCTCACATGAGATGATAATATATATTGCAATATGCAAGAGAAGAGATTAAATTAACTATGTATGTAGGCACAATCTGTTGCAATTATATGTAGAATTATATGCAGAGAGCAGAGAAGAAGTAATGGAAGTAGTCAGAGAGAGTCTGACACCATGTATTCATGTACGTTAATTGAAGCAGAAAAAGCCACTTTCTTTTTGGT